AATACAGCGCTATTGTAGGACGATAATTAATCAAGAAAGATGGGTAGGGAGCAATCCGGGGGAGATTTTGAAAGGCGTTCGGTTTTGGGCCACCGATACCTCAAGTGCGTAGACCAAAGCAGAGTTTTGATTCCGTTTTTTGGCCGTCGTAGAAAAATTCGGGTTCAAGTTACGAGAAAATTAGTCCTGAACCAAAATTTTCGCGAGTTAGTATCATGCGGAAAAATTCACGGTTAAAAAGGGCGTAGAAAAAAATGCAAGCTTATTAAATATCTCCTATCGAACTTCAGTTGAGAGAATGATTTTCGAAGGAAATTAATTTAAGATGTATTAGCCAACAAAATTTGAACCAAACACTTATTCCAGCCGTCTCCTACTACAGTGTACCACATCGTTTGCGATTTTTTGATCAATTGGCCCAAGGTAAATGGATTTTGGGATTTTTGAAATTCATAAAAGACAATTTGCAAACTCGATACGCACTAATTTGAATTTGAACTCCCAGTTGGACGCATCTCAAGCCTTTAAAATATCTTTAAGAGCACTTACGATACTTAAAAAGAGAACCTTCCCGGTTATACATTCCCCCCAACAAATGTTTAGAACCCTTACCACTTACAACAAATTTTTGAAAGGGTTGAACATTTTGAGAGCGAAAGTGTTAGCGGGGGGTTTGCGAAAGTCCTATGTTAGTTGTAGGGACATGAACATTGTTATGACTTAGAGCTAACGTAATTGGTGGATGATAAACGAATCAGAGTAGTACTTAATTCTTCATACCCCATTAATAAAGCGCCATTTTAGGACGATAATTAATCAAGAAAGATAGGTAGGGATCAATCCGGGAGAGATTTTGAAAGGCGTTCGGTTTTGGGCCACCGATACGTCAAGTGCGTAGTCCAAAGTAGAGTTTTTGAAGAGATTCCGTTTTTTTTGGCAGTCGTAGAGGTCAGGTCAGAAAAGCTCGGGTTCAAAATTGGTCCTGAACCCCCGGATTACTCCCTACCTATCTTTCTTGATCAATTATCGTCCTAAAATGGCGCTTTATTAATGAAATTTTATTAAGTACCACTCTGATTCGTTTAACATGCACCAGTTACGTTAGCTCTCGAGTCGTACCTCACAATCCCGCGCTTGTTCAAATTTGGAGTCGCGTATTAGGGCGCGAGGAGGTGGAATTAAGTGCCATCGAAACTGAAATTTTTCATTTAATAAATAATGGGGACGGCGAATTGCATTAAGTGCATTTCATTAAACAAATCGAACCAAATCTTCCTTTGGCTGGACCCCCCAGATCCCCCGGTGCTGTACTTGTCCCATTAATTTTATACTATCAAAGACGTACCCACATTCACAATACAACTGTATTACATTGGAAATAATTTTCCAGTACGACAGGGGTGGTTAGAATAATAATCTACAGGCTGGACTCCTTGGAACATCTAAAGGAGGTAAGTAACCTCTATTTACAGGTTGTGCGAGCAGCCATACTATACGCGGCGGAGTTGTGGGAACAGAAGGCTCATAGAGGTACTCTCTCCACGCAGTAACTGGGTAGTTGAATTATACAGGGCAACAGCACACTGATAATATACTTCCACGTGAATACATAAATAAATACTTAATAAAACAATGTTCATGTCCCTACAACTAACATTGGACTTTCGCAACCCCCCCCCGGTACCGCTTTTGCTATCAAAATAATCCCCCCCCCCCCAGGCCCCCCTTTCTCTTTCAAAACGTTCAACCCTAAAGTCTCCTTTCAACAATTTGTTGTAAATGGTAAGGGGGGAATGTATAACTTTTCCAATGAGAAAATATTAAGACAGGAGCCAAGTGGAGGAGGTGCGTTGGGAAGAAGGAAGATAATTATGGTCCCTTGCATACGCGGAGGGCACAGTAATAATGACAACAAAGATAGAACATATAAAAGAAGTGATGGGAAGAATGGAGTTAAATGTCGAAAAATCGAAGATGTTGAGATTTGTGAAGGGGGAGTAGGGAAAAGGGCGGTGGAATGGAAGTGGGGGGGGGGGGGGAGGTGATTTTAAATACTTAGGATACCAAATGCAGTGAAATAATGGGACAAACGCATACATAATGGAATTAAGGAAAAACGGGGAGGTGAGAGCGAGAGGCAGCGGAGATGTAGGGATGGATGCGGAATGGGACTGGGACGAACTAGAAAGAATATATACAGGGTGATTCCTATAGTACCTGCCACCGTTTGGGAGCGTATAGGGGGTGCCTAGGGGANAAAAGTGTTTTCCCGAGAAATTTTGGTGTAGTCGATTTTTGGTAAAAAAGGAAGGTTATACACTGCCTTTTTTTGAGCCCCGAAAAAAAAATTGTCTCAGATCGACCCGAAAAAAAATTTTCTTATAGAATGTGGCCTGTAGAATCCATAATTTCAAACAGTTCCAAGATTGGGCTACTAGTTCAAAAGTTACAGCACTTTGAATTTTTTTTCGAAATTGGTTTCTAGTCTATAACTTTTGATTGAGAAGTCTGATCGAAAAAGTTCAAATTGTTTTGGATTCTACGCACCCAACCCAAATTAATAAGAATAAGTGTTTTCCAGAGAAATTTTGGTGTAGTCGATTTTTGGTAAAAAAGGAAGGTTACACTGCCCTTTTTTGAGCCCCGAAATAAAAATTGTCTCAGATCGACCCGGAAAAAAAATTTTCTTATAGAATGTGGCCTGTAGAATCCATAATTTCAAACAGTTCCAAGATTGGGCTACTAGTTCAAAAGTTACAGCCCTTTGAATTTTTTTTCGAAATTGGTTTCTAGTCTATAACTTTTGATTGAGAAGTCTGATCGAAAAAGTACGAATTGTTTTGGATTCTACGCACCAAAATTAATAAGAAAAAGTGTTTTCCCGAGAAATTTTGGTGCAGTCGATTTTTGGTAAAAAAGGAAGGTTATACACTGCCTTTTTTTGAGCCCCGAAAAAAAATTGTCTCAGATCGACCCGGAAAAAAATTTTCTTATAGAATGTGGCCTGTAGAATCCATAATTTCAAACAGTTCCAAGATTGGGCTACTAGTTCAAAAGTTACAGCCCTTTGAATTTTCTTTCGAAATTGGTTTCTAGTCTATAACTTTTGATTGAGAAGTCTGATCGAAAAAGTACGAATTGATTTGGATTCTACGCACCAAATTAATAAGAAAAAGTGTTTTCCCGAGAAATTTTGGTGCAGTCAATTTTTGGTAAAAAAGGAAGGTTCTACACTGCCTTTCTTTGAACCCCGAAATAAAAATTGTCTCAGATCGACCCGGAAAAAAAATTTTCTTATAGAATGTTGCCTGTAGAATCCATAATTTCAAACAGTTCCAAGATTGGGCTACTAGTTCAAAAGTTACAGCCCTTTGAATTTTCTTTCGAAATTGGTTTCTAGTCTATAACTTTGATTGAGAAGTCTGATCGAAAAAGTACGAATTGTTTTGGATTCTACGCACCAAAATTAATTAAAAAAAGTACGAATTGAAATTTTGGAGAAATTTTGGTGTAGTCGATTTTTGGTAAAAAAGGAAGGTTATACACTGCCTTTTTTTGAGCCCCGACAAAAAAATTGTCTCAGATCGACCCGGAAAAAAAATTTTCTTATAGAATGTGGCCTGTAGAATCCATAATTTCAAACAGTTCCAAGATTGGGCTACTAGATCAAAAGTTACAGCCCTTTGAACTTTATATATATATATATCTATATAAAGGACGAAAAATCAAACTAATAGCGAGATTCAGATGCAGAAACGAAGAGGAAAGAAGAGAACAGATTCAGGCTTTGTGGAAAGAAAGATACTGACCATCTGATATGGGAATGCACAAGTACAGAAGTGGAAAGTGAAATACTGTACAAGGGGTGAAGAGGAGAAATTTGTTGTAGGTAAAAGGGGATTTCATGGGGTGGTTTTGTTTTTACTAGACTCTAATGTTGTAGAACAAAAGTGTCATTTGCAATTCACACTCACTTTCAAATTACGGGTTTCACTGTACAAAGTCCGATTAGTAGAAAAAGTAGTTTTTACATTCGAAAATGGAAGGGTGGCGCATGGGTCCGTCATGCGACCTAAATTGTTACCCTGAACGCGATTCGTCGAACCCGTACCACTTTCTCAGGTGAACGAACCCAATCACGCATTCGGAACCCCCCGTTTTGTTTTTTCTTAAAAAAAAAAATGATCGCGAAATTGAGTTCCAGAAATCGGGGATGCGAGGTGCCGTCGCGCTGAGAAGAAATACCCGGAATGTCGAACAATGGATGCCAATAACGACTTGCCACTTTTTTGTGATTGTTTTTTTTTTCAGATGTAGGTAGATGCCATTTCCGTTTGGCGTGAGTCGTCCTTCTTATGTAACATATACGCGCGCTGGATTGTGCATAGTACTTTTTTGTGACTAGCGATAACCTCGCGCAATTCTATTTATGTAAACTAGACCTAGATCGAGTAGGAGAGGGAATATTAATTTTTTAATTGCTTTTTGCGAAAATTGGGTCACGTTGTGCCTTATTTTTTGGATAAGAGAGACCACTTCAGAGTATTTGTCATTACAGGTCTAAATATTTGATTTGTGACTGGCGCGTTACGCTGAAATGTATTTTTTCGAGAGGGGTAGATAACTGAGAGCTCTCTCTTGTTATCTGCCTACCTTTATTGCGTGTACCACAAAAGCTGAAAAGCCCCCTAATATCTAAAACAAACAAAATTCAATAAAACGCGCTTTTAGGTTGTTTGCAATTAGATTCTCCTCCGAAATCTTGCGTATTTAATCCTGCCGAGAGGGTGAGTAATAAGCTTCAATTAGTCACACTAATTAATTGACTGATTATAGTCTCTCGTTCAGAAAAAAACCACTTCATCTTTGGCCGATCGGTCGCGCGGCGGAAGCGTGACTCGCTCACCCTTTTTGAAAAAAGCTTTCAACGCAACACAATTTAATTATTAATTAATTGCGCGTACTCTTTTTTTTAGTCGGCAGGATTCCCGAGAGTGTAAAAAGACCACGCGAAGATGTAATTGCGCAACGAAAATCTTTTCTCATTCTCGCTGCCCGCTCAATTATTTATAACCGCCGTTTACATTAGAAAATGAAGCTTTCCGAGGAGCACCTATGCTCCATGATTAATTAATGAGCTGGGTTATGTAATTGGAACAAAATCTGAGAATTATTACGCACGTCGTCGCTTGCTCGCACATGTGGCGGGCGCCAGATTTTTCAGTCACCTACACACCCCCGCCGAAAAAATTATAAATACACCGTTGCCGGAAATATTGTAGGGGAAATTCTTGCTAATCTTGATACGAGACGCCGCCGCCGTCCGTCAATCATCACAAGGCAAACGTGTGATTAATTTCTCCGTTTGGAATCTGATTAAATATGTGCAAAGGCGCCCCTTTTCGCCACCCGTCTTTCTCTCGCGTTTTCGCAAACGCCGCGCGTATAAAAGTTGAAAGCGGAGCGTGCTGCATCATTTTTCAACAAGTGAGCGGCGCGGTAACAGCGCGATTTTTAAAAAACGGTGTACTTACGTCCGATAGTAATAATGAAAAGTTTGTGCTTTATTGGTGCGATTTTCTTCATCGCCGTCTATCAACAAGTGGAAGCGATTCCATTTACAAGGTAATTTTTTTTTTCGCCCCGCGAAAGTCGCGATTGCAAAGTCGATTTCTCTTGCAGATTAAAGAGGGTTTCCGATCAGCGGCTGGCCGAACTGGAAACGTTAGTGGCGCTTAGCAAAATGTCCGGGAAACTGGTGACGGTACCGCTCGGTTTGGGCAAAGTGGATCCGAAACTTATGTAAGTTGCACCCGTCCTACCATCCCTCGGGAGAACCTGTTGAATAACCGTCGTTTCTTCCGCAGTGGCAGAAAGCGACGCTCGCAGTCCAGACTTCTCGACTCGCTCTTCAACCACTCCGCCGAAGAGGACGCGGGCGCGCTGGAGTACGAGGAAAACTATCGCTATCGAAAATGATGAAAGTGATCTTAGCCCAATTTTCTTCCGAATCAGTATTATTTTTCCTTTAAATGAATTGAAGACTTAAAAAGCGGTTGTGTTCATTGTTTTTTAAGGTAGCCTAATTTATTGTATTTATTTATAAACAATTTAGTATTGCTAAGTATTATTTATAATAAATCTCGAAGTTTCATCAATAAAGTGAAAGCATCCAAAGCAGTTGGGCAATTTTTTACGGTTACCGCAACCAATTTACCCAATTATGGCATAATCGCGCCTTGTAGGCAGAAATGATAATGGTATTTGTTTTACTTTTTTTTTTGTTTGATTGGCGTATCAAAATTGAGGAACAACGCCAATTAAAGTGCTCACTTAATCTAATCGCTCAGAGTTACGATAATTTATGGATCGAAATCGGAGATTGCAATGGTTCCGCCATCTGGCGACTGTGTGGAGATTATCTTCAATTTCTTGCACAACCTTTTGAAATAATCGGCAGTTATTTTAGTAACTTTTTTTCTTATTCACGTTTGTAATCGATCACAAAGAAGGCCATCAAGTTCGAAACGGCAACATTTTTATCTTTGTCATTGCATCTCCTCAACGGATGTAACGAACGTTAGCTGAAAAGGAAGCAACGAGGGGAATTACACCTACCCAACTTATCCATACGAACTATGGCGTCAATTGGGAAAAAAATACACTTAAATATTATTTATTAAGTACCTATTTCCTCCTGCTCCTCGTGATTTCCCTCTTACCTCTTTGGTAAATCGGCTACTGCATTTTTGTTACCATCCCACGTTTTATATTGTTTTACCGGGTGTACATTTTCAAGTGTGTACAACCAATTGCCCAGAGTTATTAAAAGCATTCAATATGCCCATCGTTTTAAAAAAGCGGTGACAAAGTTACCAATTACAAAAAGTTATTATTCCCTAAAGGAATATTTAGAGGACACATTATAAAAAAAAAATTCGCATTTGTATGTTAAATTTTGATGTTATTTATTTGTTTTTACTTGTTGCATTTTGTGTTGTAATGACATATCCCACAACGCTTTAGTTCAAGGGACGAATAAAAATTATTATTATTATTATTAAGTTGGATTTAGACCATTCCCCATGAAAACATCTAAACAAGTATATGTGCACAACTCTTTGTGGGTACTTTCAACCGACAAAACGTTTCCGTTTCGTTGAGACCTTTCATTAGAGTACCATGAAGGATAAAACTAGTTCCCCCCCCTGCCCCTCTACCCAAACCGGACATTCATATGATTTTTTTAACAGGAGTTATAAAATAAACTCTTTTTTGAGGTTTGGGCAGTTTTTGGGGCTGTAACTTTTTGGCACGTTCGTTTACGTAGCCGAAAAACAATAGCGTCCTTTCTTATATCCTGAAGAACATGTGTATCAATTTTCAAAGTGATCCGACGTTTTTACACAAAGTTATCGAGCACACGGACAGACAGACAGCAATACAAAATTACACCCCCACCCCCATTCTCGCTCTCCAAATCCCCTCTTCTGATAAGGAGTCAGGAAGTAGGGCGGTAGTTGGTAGAAAACGGTTCCTTTCCTTGAGACCTTTAATTAGAATACCATGAAAGAAAATTAATTCCCCCCCCTCCATTTTTTTTATTCTTAAAAAATGCGCTAAAAATAGTGGATAGTATAACCTCGGGGCCGCCCGTCCCTATAACTATCATAAGGGCTTCGTAGACTGGGGAGTATGGACCCCCTGGTGGCACGCTTCTCCATAAAACACTCCCGAAGAACTACTGTGGTAGTTTTGCATATGGGACTATAGAAGCTTCTTTTCCTGATGAGTATTCCATACCCCACGAGCTCCTGGTCGTAGCTTTTATGGTCCCTTTTCAAAAATTCTGGTTTAAATGGTGTGTGAAATATAGGTTTTGCGGAAGTGAATAACCGGGGGGTCTGGGGGGTATGGAATACCCCCCAGTATGCGATGATCTTGTGATTAAAACGTTCTTCCATGGAGAGTTCAGGATTAAATAGTCTCTTCGCTATAACTATCGTAAGGGATTCGTAGACTGGGGGGTATTCCAGACCCCCCGGTGGTACGCTTCCCCACAAAACACTCACCCTGAAGACTATAGCGGTCGTTTTGCCTATGGGACTATAGAAGCTTATTTTCCTGATCAGTATTCCATACCCCACGAGCTCCTGGTCGTAGCTTTTATGGTCCCTTTTCAAAAATTCTGGTTTAAATGGTGTGTGAAATATAGGTTTTGGGGAAGTGAATAACCGGGGGGTCTGGGGGGTATGGAATACCCCCCAGTAATACCCCCCAGTATACGATGATCTTGTGATTAAACGTTCTTCCATGGAGAGTTCTGGATTAAATAGTCTCTTCGCTATAACTATCGTAAGGGATTCGTAGACTGGGGGGTATTCCAGACCCCCCGGTGGTACGCTTCCCCACAAAACACTCACCCTGAAGACTATATCGGTCGTTTTGCATATGGGACTATAGAAGCTTATTTTCCTGATCAGTATTCCATACCCCACGAGCTCCTGGTCGTAGCTTTTATGGCCCCTTTTCAAAAATTATGGTTTATATGGTGTGTGCAGGGGAACTGTATAACCGGGGGGTATTCCATACCCCCTTAGTATACGAAGATCTTGTGACAGTTGTAGAAGAAAGATCATTATTTATTATTATTTATTATCCCACTCTTGTTTTGGGCACTCAAAAAAAGTGTACATTTTCGGTTTATTTCTTTGACTGTAGTGAAAAAGTAGTTTTGGTTGTCGTAAGTGTCGTAGAAATATTCTAAAATGCGAAAAAAACGAAAAGAAGAAATTGGATTCGGCTCAAAAAAGGACCATCATCCAATATATTGATAGATTTACCGTATAGGTTAATAAAAATGCTTTGCATTTTAAAACTCCGCTGACGTGAATTTACTTCACCTCTTTAATAAATCCTTCCTTCCATTCATCCGGCAGTCCTCATCTTTTCGATATCTTGTTATTTCCTTAGCTCCTCCTTGATTTCTCATTTTCATCCTGCCCTGATATCTCATCCCCTTCTATACGGCCCTTCCTACTTCCTGCTTTCCTTATAGTAACTTTAACTAGATAGGTAGGACCTATCACTGCATTGTTGGTACAATCCACCGTTTTATATTGTTTTACCGGTGTGTACATTTTCAAGTTGAATTAATAGTTGGATTTAGACCATTCCCCATGAAAACATCTAAAAACAAGTATTAATTGTGCTCTTGTGCAGATAAAGCGCATTTTTTAAACCGAAATAGCTTTTGTTTTGACATCACCAATGAGTATATTTCTTGCAGACGTCGCAATCGCCCTTTGTGAGTACCCTCTTCTGACAAACCGTTCTTGAGGTATAAGGGAATATACCCGATCACAATAAGAGGTCGAGGAGCAGGGCTATGCTTGTTGGAAATTGATTCCTTTCGTTGAGACCTTTCATTAGAGTACCATGAAGGATAAAACTGGTTCCGCCCCCCCCCCCCTTAGCCCACATTTTGATAAGAGGACAGAAAGAAGGGCAGTAGTTGGTAGAAAACGGTTCCTTTCGTTGAAGCCTTTAATTAGAATACAATGAGAGATAAATTTTTAACCTCCCCCCCCTCTCGCTCACTGATCTCGAAAAAGGGTCTCACCGGAAAGTTATAGTTTGTACAAACCAATTTATTTCGATGAGACCTTTCATTAGAATACCATGAAGGGTAGAACATGTGTTTATACCCCCCCCCCCCCCATTTTCTAAAGTGCTTTAAAAATGTGAAAAAAGAATGTTTAGTTTATTATGCGAAACTTAAAGTAAATGCAATTTTAAAATTTAAGATGGCAGTTACGGCCTCTGGTGGTCATTTTTAGAACTTGAAAATATTTTCCAGCGATTCTTCATAACCGATTGACCCAATAATTTTTTTACCCCTAAGTCATACGACCAACGGTTCCCGAGATATGGCCGAGGAACAGTCTTATTGGGTCACCCGGTACAAGCAGTAGATATATTTTTTCAGTTTTGTAATCTTTTTATTAAACTTCTGTTTTTGGGTCATAGTTTAAATCAACAATAAAACCAAATGCCCTTTCCGTTCCACGTGCCACTTTGTCTTCGAATAAATTAAACACTGCGGCGAAAAAACATATGCGATAACACGTGCTTATCTTGAAACTAATTTGCCTACGCAGTTATAACCGTAAACTTAATCTTTGAGAAGTAATAAAAACTAAATAACCTACTGACACCACATTCAACGTTAACAAACCACTGACATTCAAATACAGGATGCCAGATCGCCATTCCCGATGCTGATACCGAACAAAACCCCCGCATGGCGTAGTTTACGCAACAATATTGACCTTAGTGTGTTGCCTACTCACTAGTTTTGGAAGATAAGCTACCGTGCAACTAAGGCCTCGGCATTCTGAGTATTTATTTTGTGAGTTAGAACATGCGCGCTTTACAATTAAGCAAAAAATATCCTCCACCCTGTATATCAACCACATCGAAATTGAAGTGGTTAAGCATCCGCCGCGTGAAATTGCGATTGATATTTGTAAGAGTGAGAGATATGCGCGTACCAGTGGCACGGACAGAGACGGGGCGCACGACGTTAGTTTGATATATGGAAATGGGAAAATGGTGCCCCACAACTGATTTGTGTTATGAGAACAAAAGTTTAGCGTGAAATGTACGTTTTTTTATCGATCGTATTAAGGAGGTCTATAAAAAAATTGTCGACAATGTGCAATATTACGTAAATGTAGTGAATACGTGGTCCCTTTCATAGTTTATTTTTGTGTTCTTCGTTTTTCTCATCATTTTTAAACGCAGCAACAATGGCGGTGTGTGCGATTTTAAGTTTCCCTTAACTCCCTCGGTCCACCTCCTCCTCCTCCGTGCCGCAGGTCCAAATATGAATGCAACAAATGCCGGTGATCAGATCTATGATTTCGAATCGGAGGAGAACTCGCCGAAGTGGAAGGGAGTACTTATAACGGCCCTTAAAAGAGTTTGTACCCCCCGTGACCGAAATCTCCGACGGTAACCGGTTTTTTCGTAGGTGCTGGAGCAGGTACATCCGTCGTTAGACGCACGCGAAGATGCCTTGGATTACGTGGAGAGCCTCTGCCTGCGGCTGCTCGCCATGCTATGCGCGAAACCCAGTCCGCATACGGTTCAGGTACGATGTCCGCTGCTTCGCAACTACTAAACGTTTCCGTTTAGGACGTCGAGTATCGGGTGCAGAGCACGTTTCCGACGCCGATCGACAAGTGGGCCCTCAAAGAGGCACAGGAGGCTTTGGAACGCGGCAAGAAGAAATCCGTACTGCCCGTCGATAAAATACACAATCTCCTTCAGAAAGTAATTCGTTTCACCCGTCGCGATCGTCAGCTAAATCGTGACCCTTTGCAGGAGCTGCTGTTGTACAAGGTAGATTCCGCCGTCTCCCTGTTTCTGGTGGCGGTCTTGGAGTACATCTCGGCCGACATACTCAAATTGGCGGGTAACTACGTTAAGCACTTTAAGCACGTCGAGATAACCTTTCAGGATGTGCAAATTTCGATGAACGCCGACAAGGTAAGTGTCGAGTCGATTAGAGAAAGAGATAGAAACGAATTTAGACTAAGATAGGCGCCGCTTGGCATTTTATTAACTTGCTTAATGCTTTCACGCCTGCCTCAGACCACCACCGCCATGGTAGGTAGCCGTATTATGTTTATTATTATTATTATCGGGACAGATTTTTTGTGTTCGCCGATTCGGGGGGTGGACAGGTGAAAATTTGGGATTTTTGAATGAATCTGTTCGTCTAGACATTATTTCTAACGCTATTGGTCAATGCAACGGGTGCATATCTTAGCCCAAAGGGCTTTCAGACTCGACCTTGAGAGTCTTAAAAAGCTTTTGTAAGCCTTTCAGTCTTTATATATTTTAAAAGGGTTCCCAGATACCTTTAAGAACCCAGTAAGTAGTTTTTTGAGTTTTTAAAAATCTTTTTGGGCTTTTTGAAGTGTTGCCCAGGTTCTCTTCTCCCAAAAATGAGAAATATTCCGAGGGCTTTTAGACAATTCATTTTTTGATAGGTTTTAACAGCCTTAGTGTGTAAAAGTCTTAATTTTCTGTATTTTTTTAATTCTTGATTTATTTTTTTCGAATTTTTGTATTTTTTAAATTTTCAAAAATTTTTAATTATTGGAATTTGTTACACCTAGTTCGAGTTTTCTATTATTGTTGAATTATTGGGTTCACTGACTTTTTGATTTTGAATTTGGTTTAATTTTATTCAAATATTTAATTTTCTTTTTTTATTTTTAATGTTTTTTGAATATTTCCGAGCGAATTCTACAATATTTGCGAAAATATTCGAGAATATTCGCACTTTCATTATTATTTTTGAATGAGAATTTGTTTTAGTATTTAAACGTTTTTATTTTTTATGTATGTTAAATAAACAATTAAAACTCAAATGCCTTTTATTAACATTATATTTTATTCAAAGATCGATTCCTTCTTTGGTGTATTGTAATTAGTATGGTATGGTATATTTTGTAAAACATGAAAATTACCGAATATTCTCGAAGGTTTCCGAATATTCGTAACGGAATTTTGCAGAACTAGTCTGTTGCATTTTTTAAAATTTTTCAAATTACCTAAATTCCGAATTTTTCTTATCCTCGAATTAGGTATTTAAATCTGTGCACACTTCCTGCAATTTTTCGCTACAGAATGTTTTTAAATATCCCGATTTTTCAAGATTTTTTGCTAATTCTTGCTTCTGATAATTTATAATTTTTCCAATTGAAACTATACCTTTTTTTGACAGTTCGACCAACTCCCAATTTTTTTTAATTCTCTTCCAACTAACGACCTATTGGCACCAGATCTCAAATACCATGTATATAACTGTAATTACACTCTGTATATTTAAAATGATACAGTCAATTACAGTAAAAAATTCAAATGCCCCGCACAAATTCATACTTCCCGCTATAAAATGGCGGACATCCGGAAATTCAAAAATTTAAATCTCGCACAAATTCAAATTTACCGCTGCAAAATGGCGCAGTCAATCTCAGCGCAGCACATGTGACGTCATAAAAAAGTGGAGGGGGATTGCAGATCGCTTTCTACTCTTATTCTAGAGTAATCAAGCAATATAAGAACTAGCCATTTTTTAAATACATTGAATACTCGTGGATTTACTGTAATTTTTCCAAATTTTTTGTTTTTTTTTTCGAATTTTTAACTCTTCAAATTTTTTTATTTCTATTTCTTTAAATGTAAACGAAATTTGAAAGTCTTTATGAGGAATTCAAATTTTTTATAAATATTTCGAATGCATGCACATACAACATTCAAGGATGTACAACGATACAATAAATTTATAACAGTCTTAAAATGGATTAATTCTTTATATAACAGTAGTTATTATTTAATTATATTATAAGAGCACAAATCAAATGTAAATCAGGAATATCAATCGGTAAGAAGATTCCGTTCAGCCGCCTCGATGTCTATAGGCGTTTCTGGAATATTCGCTACATTCTTTTTTACCTCCATGCTAGCTTTCATGTCATGTACAAGCAGTAGATATATTTTTTCACTTTTGTAATCTTTTTATTAAACTTTTTTTAGGGTCATAATTTAAATCAACAATAAAACCAAATTCCCTTTCCGTTCCACTTACCACTTTGTCTTCGAATAAATTAAACACTACGGCGATAAAACATATACGATAACACGTGCTTATCTTGTAACTAATTAGCAGTGATAACAATAAACTTTTAACACGTAATCAAAACTGAACAGAAATCAAAACAAAACAAAAGGCGAATATTTAAACAAAATTAACATAATTCTGATCTTCAACTAATATGATCGAGATTTGTGTTCTGTCACATTTAACGTTAACAAACAACTGAAATTCAAATACAGGATGCTCATTTTATAAATATTCCGAATGTCTCAAGTTTTACGGAAATGTTTTCAATTTTAAGCTTTTTTTTATTTAATTAAAGTTTTAATTTTTTAGTTCTTTGGATTGTTTGTAATTTTTAATATTCTTAAATTCTTAAATTTTTCGAATTTTGATGAAATGTTCCTAATTTTTTTATTTTTTTTTGTGTGCATCTGCTGCCAAATAATTCTAATTGTTTAAATTTTACATATGCGATAACACGTGCTTATCTTGAAACTAATTAACATACCCAGTGATAACAAACTTTTAACACGTAATCAAAACTGAATAGAAATCAAAACAAAACAAAAGTGCATCTGCTGCCAAATAATTCTAATTGTTTAAATTTTACATATGCGATAACACGTGCTTATCTTGAAACTAATTAACATACCCAGTGATAACAAACTTTTAACACGTAATCAAAACTGAAAGAAATCAAACCAAAACAAAAGTGCATTCTGCTGCCAAATAATTCTAATTGTATTTAAAATTTTCATATTGCGATAACACGTGCTTATCTTGAAACTAATTAACATACCCAGTGATAACAAACTTTTAACACGTAATCAAAACTGAATAGAAATCAAAACAAAACAAAAGTGCATCTGCTGCCAAATAATTCTAATTGTTTAAATTTTACATATGCGATAACACGTGCTTATCTTGAAACTAATTAACATACCCAGTGATAACAAACTTTTAACACGTAATCAAAACTGAATAGAAATCAAAACAAAACAAAAGGTGAATAAAAAAATTAACATAAATTCTTGTCTTGAAAATAATATGATCGAGTTTTGTGTCCTGTCTCAAGGAATCACATTTCACGAACTGAAATTCAAATATAGGATGTGTTCATTTTTATAAATATTTCGAATGTCTTTTCAAGTTTTTACGGAAATGTTTTCAATTTTAACTTTTTTTTTTATTTATAAAGTGTTTAATTTTTTTAAAGTTTCCTTTTTGGGGGGAATGTTTTTTTGTATTTTAATATTTCTAAATTTTTGAATTTGATGAAAAGTTCCTTAATGTTTTTATTTTTTGTTGTGTGCATCTGCTGCAAAATAATTCTATCTAATTGTTTAAATTTTACATATGCGATAACACGTGCTTATCTTGAAACTAATTAGCATACGCAGTGATAACAAACTTTTAACACGTAATCAAAACTGAATAGAAATCAAAAAACAAAAGGTGAATAAACAAAATTAACATAATTCTGATCTTGAACTAATATGATCGAGTTTTGTGTCCTGTCTCAAGAATCACATTCAACGAACTGAAATTCAAATATAGGATGCTGATTTTATAAATATTCTGAATGTCTCAAATGTTACGGAAATGTTTACAATTTTAAGCTTTTTTTTATTTGATTAAAGTTTTAATTTTTTAGTTCTTTGGATTGTTTGTAATTTTTAATATTCTTAAATTTTTCGAATTTTGATGAAATGTTCCTAATTCTTTTATTTTTTTTGTGTGCATCTGCTGCAAAATAATTCTAATTGTTTAAATTTTACATATGCGATAACACGTGCTTATCTTGAAACTAATTAGCATACGCAGTGATAACAAACTTTTAATACATTTATATTTTTTAATTTATTGAATGTTTGTTTACACTTTTTTACTTTCAATTTTTCGTTCCCGGATTTTTTTTGTTATTCTTTTGGAATTCGATTGTTGTGGTCTATAGAATTTTTAAAAATAAAATCGGAGAGGAGAGGGGGACTGGCCGTCAAATCAACCTCCCCAAATTTGCACTTGTTGACTACCCGTCGACGAACATAAGAAGTCTGTCCGACAAATGCATGAGAATTATTCGAGATTCACACGAACACAGGGCTGTTTTGCTGTAGCTTGCCTTGTTTCTTTGCGAACTTGCGTTTTATTTACGTTCACACGACACACACTTTACGTCGAACCACAACTTGATGTTAGCTCGTAGTTTTTAGTTTGCATAAATCTCGGCCGCGATCGCCTTCACTGACCGATCTGACTACTTGCAGGCATTAATGGACATGTTCTACCAGGACGAGGGCGGGGGGCCGAATACGCTCTCCGACTCGCCGGTCGTCACGTCGCAGGCGCCTCGCAATAGCCTCACCTACGAGGAGATCGTACGCGAACTGATGGCCTCCGAACGCCAATATCTGCGAGAGCTGCACATGCTGATTAAGGTTTTCAGGTACGCCCGATCTTCCTCCTCCCAAGCTTGTAGGTTTAATCGGAGCGATTGTAGGGAGGAAATAATCAAACTGAACGCCGATCAGAGGGAGTTGGACGCGATCTTCTCCAACATCGTCGATATCTACGAGCTGACCGTAACGTTATTGGGAAGCTTGGAGGACGTGATGGAAATGGCGCAGGAACAAATGCCCTACATCGGCAGCTGTTTTGAAGGTCTGTTATCCGCGCTCCTTTGATACAGGTTTTAATGAAACACCCTGTGTATTATTAACGTTTTCTTGTTGATCTAAAATCAGATTGGATTTACATAACCTTCATGTTATTCCAAATTCTCATGGGTCGATTCCCTTAAGCATATCAAACTGACCTCAAACCCAATGCGTTGATACGGCTTATTATCACAAGACATATTTTTGTTCACGTGCGCTATGAAGCGGTAGGAATATATGAACATTTTCCTATGCTAAAGAAAATAATAAATTCGAAAATATTGCGTTCTTTAATTCTAAAGCGACGTGCCACGTGGCGGTGACTTTGCAAAGTACGTCAAGGTAAAGCTCCAGGGCCACGCTTTTTTCTGGTAGTGACCTTGGAAAGTAAGTTAAAGTAAAGCTCAAAGATAGCTAGCGCTCTGATGATTTTGGGAAGTAGATCCAGGTGAAGCTTAAGGTCACTAGCCTTAGTGGTGACCTAGAGAATTATTCAAGGTGAAATTCGAAGGTCGGTTTCACCTCTCTTTTGGTTAGGTGTCTTTAAAAGTAGTTCAAGGTATTGATCAGAGGTCAATTCAGGGGCAGACTGGCACGGGGGGGGGGGGGCGGGTGGCGATTGCCACCTAGCCTGTAGATCATAATGGCCCGTTGGAAATTTATAAGTATGTGCTGCATTTAGTTTCTTGCACTATTAATAAATTATTAACACGTTTCTCTAATTGGGGTTGATGTTAGGTTGTTAAAAAATTCTGTTTTAATTGAAGTGTTTTACAATGAATTTATCATTTTTTGTCGTAGCATGAACGTGCTGAAATACAATGATAGGCGACGCACCTCGTGTGGATTGTATATTTTGTTACTTTTAATTATCAGCTGCAATTTAAAAAAAACTGTAAGTATGGTAATTGATTTTCGAGAAAGGAGTACTTTAAAATGTTTTTGTGGTGCACCTCAGAGCTATCCCCCCCCCCCCTTCCCCGGCACCATCATTACTACACTAATACTTTAATGGCTTAATGGCCCGTAAGTATACCCAGTCCGCCCCTATGTATAACCTTCCTTTTTTACCAAAATTCGACTAGGTACACCAAAATTTCTCGGGAAAACACTTTTTCTTATTAATTTTGGTGCGTAGAATCCAAAACAATTCGTACTTTTTCGATCAGGCTTCTCAATCAAAAGTTATAGACTAGAAACCAATTTCGAAAAAAAATTCAAAGGGCTGTAACTTTTGAACTAGTAGTCCAATCTTGGAACTATTTGAAATTATGGATTCTGCAGGCCACATTCTATAAGAAAATTTTTTTCCGGGTCGATCTGAGACAATGATAGGCGACGCACCTCGTGTGGATTGTATATTTTGTTACTTTTAATTATCAGCTGCCATTAAAAAACAAGTTGTAAATCTGCATATGCATGATTAAAGCGCATTTTTGGTAATGCAGGTCAGTATTTTATTAGCGAAGTTTAAAATTATCGATCTCACGAGTAATTTTGGCTGCGTTAAATAATTAATTTTATTTAATTTCAATTGACGGTACGTCTTTAATTTTGTAAAACAAATCACAAAGTAAATAATAAGTTTTTTAAAGTCACTAAATAAAGAAAGTACCGCAATCCATTGGGCTCGTGTGTTTGAGAGAGAATGCATTATTTTTGCCCAAAAATGGCGGAAGTTACCAGATTCTAGTAACTTTAATGTTAGGGATTGTTCCACCTGTTTGGAGATATCTGTATATATTTTCATAAAACATGACTACTATGAAGTTAGGTTATAAAAAATTACAGCTATTCAGATTTTGTCAATTTTTTTTAAGTTGGCAGCAAATTTGCCCAAAAATGGCGGATGATTGTGGTACTTTCTATATCTAGTAACTTTAAAGTTTTTATACTGGTAACGCTATCTAACGGTAAAATTATAGAACCTCCGAAACCCATATCGAAATTATTTTCTTCAATTATCGATCTCACAAGTAATCTAACTCAAAATAGACTAGTGCCTGCACATGTACACTATAGCAGAAAGCTTTTAGTGAAAATTTGAATTCTCTAGCTATTGTAGTTGTGGAGATCTCACGCGGACAGCCGGCCTGCCAGCCATAACAAATATAATAGCGTATTTTTTTCAAAAATGCGCTAAAAATTGTATGGTAATTTATTTTCGAGAAAGGAGTACTTTAAAATGTTTTTGTGGTGCACCTCAGAGCTAACCCCCCCTCCCCCCGTCACCATCATTACTTTACCCAGTCCGCCCCTGGGTCGATTCACGTTTCTTTTAATACAAATGATCTGTTTATAAACGGCAGGTACAATATTCGGATTTATAGCGCGAAAATGAATTGACACCCCAAAAAAAAGTTGACCTTGAAAATGAAATTTGACACTCCAAATTTTTGTAACGGTTTTCTGTCCACGTTAGTGCATATACCGATTTCCCGTTTCAGAATTGGCCGAAGCCGCCGAGTTTGACGTTTACAGCAAGTACGCGCACGATGTCACGTCGCCAACGTGTCGCGACACGCTGCACAACTTGCTCTCGCGGCCGCAGGTGAACAGCGCTCTAGTCACAGCCGGGCAGGGCATGCCGCTCGCCCTAAAATATTACCTACCCGCCCTTCTGACTGGTCCAATTCGTCACTGTTTCTCCTACCTAGACTACATTAAGGTGCTACGAGGGTTATCGGAATCTCCGGAGGATCGGGAAACGTTGACGCAGGTCGAGGGACTGCTGACCCCGTTACAATTAGAGCTCGGCCAGTGCGTTTCGTTTCAGTCGCTGCAACGTTCGAGCGTCGTGTCGAACTACGGGACGAGGTCGCGCCGTCAAACCGCCTTAGACAAAATACACGAGCTTCAGCGAATAGTCGAAAATTGGGACGCGAAGGATACGGGGCAGTGTTGCAATGAGTTCGTCCGAGGTACGTCCCCCTTTCGCCCTTTTCATGGCCACTTAACCTTTTGTTCGCAGAGGACATTCTCATGAAGGTCAGTTCGGGGAAGCGCCTGACCGAGAGGCGGGGGTTTCTCTTCGACGGATTAATGATCTTGTGCAAGCCGAACTCGCGACGTCAAAGCTCGGTGCACCAGAGCCATCCCGAGTGTCGCATTAAGGAGCGCTTCTTCATACGCAAGGTCGAAATAGTCGATCACGTCGACACCGACGAGATGCGGAACGCGTTCGAGATCTCGCCCCGCATTCAGCCGGCGGTTACGTTGTGCACGAAGAACTCCGAGGAGAAGAACGTCTGGATGGCCGATCTGGTGATGATCAACACGCGCGCGATGCTCGATCGAATTTTGGACAGCATACTGCTGGACATGGAGCGAAAGCATCCGCTTCGGCTGCCCTCGCCCGAGATATACAAGTTTGCCGAGCCCGACTCGAAGGACAACATCATCTTGGAACAGCGCGAGAACGGCGGCGTGCCTTTAATCAAGGGGGCGACCCTGTACAAACTAGTCGAACGATTAACCTACCACATTTACGCCGATCCCAAGTTCGTCCGGACGTTTCTGACGACGTATCGGAGCTTCTGCGCGCCCTCCGAACTGCTGGACCTGCTAATCGAGAGGTTCAACATACCGGACCCGTCGTTGGTTTACGAAATGGACTGCTCCGACACGGACAAGATGCAGAAGAACTCGCAGCGCGAGGATTGGAAGCGCTATCGGAAGGAGTACTGTCAACCCGTACAGTTTAGGTGCGCGTGCGTGTAATTTTCAGTGGCGTTCGCTGCATCGTTTGCTTTCAGGGTGTTAAACGTTCTACGCCACTGGGTCGACCATCACTTCTACGATTTCGAAAGGGATCCGTCACTTTTGGAGAAGCTGCATACTTTTTTAGAGTCCGTTACGGGTAAAAGTATGCGAAAGTGGGTCGACAGCGTTTTGAAAATTTTACAAAGAAAGGTAAGATGAATATAGGGAGGTAAAACGTCCAAATTCAAATTACAAACAAGAGTTTTGCTCTAATTGCCACGAGAGTAGCTCTAGGGCCTTCATTGATACGAAGGAAAAAGAGCAACTGGAAACCTTTCAGGCTACGTGCTCACTTACTTTCTTCTTCTCCAATTTACATTTTACAATTACGTGCATCGGGGAATCTCATTTTCCTCATACTCTAGACTTTACAGTTATATTTAAAGTATTGTGACATTCACACCGAGGTCTCACGGGCTTATAACATTTGTATGTTTTTTTACCTCTCTCGTAATAATAAAGTCCGTTGGGGGTTTCGAGATCCATCACATAACAGTATTCAAATAACATAAATGTTCAGGAGTCATCAATAATTGTCACAAGTATTTTACGCCCCCATATAAAACAAACAAAAACGTCGACCCATCGCACAAGCCGATAACAAAAATCATAATTGAGCTATTAACTTTTAACCTAGGGGTCGCTGATATTCATCACGCTGTCAGCTCGCCGTTGCCGTTGTATTTTCAGCAGAACGTCCATTTATTTTAATCGGTTCTCTGTCGTGCAGTTGTCCTTTGTATGACCCGGTTGTTTACATATGAAACACTTTAAAATCTTTCGGACGCGGACATTCATCAGCATCATGTCCCTCAGACGCACAATTGAAACATCGTACTGCTTGTATCAGAAGAAGTTAATACGAGTGTTGTCAACCAAGCAGTAACAAAACTGTAAGTAGTTAAGGCTCTGAATGTCTCTTTTTCTTCTAGCGTTATTGTCGCAATGAAAAATCTCAATGTTTATTCTCAAATTAATAATTTGGGAGACTCGGTAGCTTCGATCAAATTCCAAGGAATTAACCTCAGAATTAACTAAAGAAATTAATACCTGGCATCATAATTGGGTTCGAATAGAAAATTCGACCCTATCTGGGTCGCACTTAGGGTTCGATTAAACACACACTTAAATCCTTAACTTTTTCCGCACACTTCATTTCGATTCCGACGAATTACGTTACCACATAAACGGGCCAACTGTCTGAAAAGTTTAGCATAAAGAAATGTACACGTACTCAAACCGTCGCGAAAGAAAAAGTGCCGTGTTATTTAAAATACAAGTACATTCTGAAGCTAATCAAAACGGCCTTCCTTCACAACTACTCGCACAAAAATTCTTTCTAAAAGTTCTTTTTCGCGACCCGACTCCTCCTCATTCCCTCTTCAATAACCAATTAATGTTTCCTCAGCTCAAGAGATGCCTGAACCTTTATACCGTACGATAAACACGACACCTCTTGGCTAATTCTATTAGTACATAATCCAATGTATTTTGCTATACGCATTTTTGCACTTATTGTTGGGTATCTGATTTTTTAAATTTTGTATATATAGCCCTGTGTTATTATACAGCGATAAAACACGTGCGTTAATTAAATTTCACCTGATAAAAACACTTCTTATCGCAAACGACCAGATTTCTGACACCTTACCTAAATTGAACAACTTACAAACGCGATAAAAATTAAAAATATGCATCTACACAAATTTCTAAAAAGAACAATAAACACTTGAGATACAAAGTCAAGTAAAGTAAACCCTGAAGGTATAAAGGAGCACGAGTTCCTTTCATAGAATGCGATGTAAGTTCTGTTGAGCATCACCACTTACAGTAATGTTGGGTCACCCTGTATGCTTGAATTTTTATTTTGACGTTAAATGTGGTTCTAAGTTTTGATTATATATCTGGAAATATTTGCGTAGTATTTGTAATATTTTCGGTCGTTGCGAGAAGAGCGTTATCGCTGCGTAGGCTAATTAGTTTAGTGATAATCACGTTTTATCCCAGATGTTTTTTCGTCAGTAAGAAAACACATGCGTTTAATTTATTCGAAGGCGCAGTTGAAAGTTGAAAAGAAAGGGAAATTTTGTTAAATAGAAGAGACGGACGTTAATCGTTGCTTCTTTGGTGGTAGACGTTAACCGCTGCTTTTTGGTTAAGGTTTTCTTTTGTTTGGTGGACGTTGAAGTAAGACTTTTCTTGTATTACACCAATTATTTCTACATTGTTGATAATACAAACTTTTTAAACTCGAAATTCCATGCGTAAACACTTCTTGCACAACATTAAACTTGTTTCCTTATTATTTTACTAACATGAGGACGCTTAAGTTTCTTTTTTTTTAAATTGCCTAGCCGACTGTACTACCGGTACCAAAAATTAGCGATTTCTTTTGAAATAATCCGAGCCAGCCTCGTTTACTCTTCACTCTTCCCATTTAAGAAAAAAAAACACTTTTACTAAGAAATTCAATATCGTTATTAACTGGACCATACTCGAAATTCCTCTACGTCGCCAAAACTGCTAAACCACCTGCATCGCTTATCTCGCACGTGACATTGTTGTTCGAAAAACATATCAACACCTGACCCGATAAAACTAAACTTTTCATTGTCGACCTATCACATTGCGCATGATCAGTAAAGGTTATGTTTAGAAGCGCGTGTCACGAGAGTAAGTATCGGTAATCGTAATGTTTTCGTCCTTGGCGGCTAAGCGGTTCGCGTCTAGACTAACGATAGATCTACAATTTACCGACGGTGCGCTTCTAAACTTGTTTTAGACTGAACCCGATTTACAAAGGCACATAAAGTTCGCGTTCGACGAGCCTCCGCCGCCGATCGAATGGCACCATTCGGTAACCGAGGAGGACTACGGAATTCTGACACTGCATCCCGTCGAAATCGCGCGGCAGCTAACGCTATTGGAATTCGAGATCTACCGAACGATAAAGCCGAGCGAACTGGTCGGCTCGGTTTGGACGAAGAAAGACAAGGAGATCACCAGTCCGAACCTGTTGCGCATGATGAAGCACACGACGATCGTGAGAGCGCGGCGCTTGTGGCTTTCTCGGTTCACAGTCGTCTGTTGCAGGTGACGCGCTGGTTGGAGAAGAATATCGTCGAGGCCGAGAACTTCGAGGAGCGCACGGCGATACTTAGTCGGATCGTCGAGATCATGACCGTATTGCAGGAGTTGAACAATTTCAACGCGGTGCTGGCGTTCGTTTCGGCTTTGGGATCGGCGTCCGTTCATAGACTGAAATTTACATTTAATGTAAGCCCCTTCCAGGTTATCCTAACTGTAACGCATCTGTTACAGAGTTTACCTCAGAATCTGAAAAAAATATTGGAGGAGTGGCGAACGGACGATCACTTAAAACGTTACCAGGAAAAGTTGAGATCGATCAATCCCCCTTGCGTCCCCTTTTTAGGCATGTATCTAACCAACATTTTGCATTTAGAAGAAGGCAATCCGGATTTTTTACCCAACACCCAGTTGATCAACTTCTTCAAGCGTCGAAAAGTCGCCGATATCACGGGGGAAATCCAGCAGTACCAAAACCAGCCGTACTGCTACAACGTCGAGCCAAAAATTAAGGTAACTATGTGACCGAGTTTAGCACCGGACATCATCGAAATGTCGTAGATGTTCTTGGAGACGTTGAGCCCTTTCGGCGACATGACCGATACCGATATCAGCAATTATTTGTATAGTAAGTCGATCGAAATAGAGCCACGGGGTTGTAAGCAAGTTCCTAAGTTCGGACGGAAATGGCCGGGGTTGAGCCTGCGCAGTCCGGGCACGAAGACAAAGTCCTCGCGCCAGGTGCCGCCTTCGTCCATCGCGCATAATCAACAGATACTGAAGTCTGAGGCTAAGGAGGACAATTCGAAGACGGAGGATTTCAGCGTCTTTGCGCAGGTAATGATTTAATAGTGCTATGCAAAAAAAAACGACGGCCGGTAAATGTTTTAATAAAATATATATTTTCAAAAAAATATATATATTTAAAAAAAAATATTTATATTTTCAAAAAAAATTTTGAAATCATTTTTGAATTTATCCCAAGTGCTTTCCGAATATATCAATATTCCATTCTAGGTGCAATTCCAAATATTAATAAAATATATATTTGCAAAAAAATACATATATTTTATATATATTTCTAAAAAAATATATATTATTAAAAAAATATATATATTTAAAAAAAAATTTAGAAATCATTTTTGAATTTATCCCAAGCGCTTCCCGAATATATAAATATGCCATTCTAGGTGCAATTCCAAATATTAATAAAATATATATTTGCAAAAAAAAATATATATTTTATATAATTATATTTCTAACAAAATATATATATTATTAAAAAAATATATATTTAAAAAAAAATTTAGAAATCATTTTTGAATTTATCCCAAGTTCTTCCCGAATATATAAATATTCCATTCTAGGTGCAATTCCAAATATTAATAAAATATATATTTGCAAAAAAAATATATATTTTATATAATTTCTAAAAAATATATATATTATTAAAAAAATATATATTAAAATAAATAATTTAGAAATCATTTTTGAATTTATCCCAAGTGTTTCCCGAATATAATAAATATTCCATTCTAGGTGCAATTCCAAATATTAATAAAATATATATTTGCAAAAAATATATTTTATATATTTAAAAAAAATTTAGCAATCATTTTTGAATTTATCCCAAGTGCTTCCCGAATATATAAATATTCCATTCTAGGTGCAATTCCAAATATTAATAAAATATATATTTGCAAAAAAATATATTTAAAAAAAATTTAGAAATCATTTTTGAATTTATCCCAAGTGCTTCCCGAATATATAAATATTCCATTCTAGGTGCAATTCCAAATATTAATAAAATATATATTTTCAAAAAAATTATATATTTTATATATATTTCTAAAAAATATATATTTAAAAAAAATATATTAAAAAAAAAAATTTAGAAATCATTTTTTAATTTATCCCAAGTGCTTCCCGAATATATAAATATTCCATTCTAGGTGCAATTCCAAGGCGGCGGGCAAAACAGCCCAACGCTGAGCCCGGTTTCACCGGCGGCACAACCGTTCATAGGTTGGTTTCCGCCGACACACAGTCGTAGTCCTAGCGTTAGTTCGATAATGTCCACCGCATCCGTAAAAACGGTACCGGTCATGATGTCTAAACAGGACGGAATAATTTCACATCAGTAAGTCGTACGATTTGCACCAGTTGTCGGCGTAAACAGGTCAATTAGTTCGCAGAAATTCGTGCCTCAACCGGGAAGTCCGGGCCCTCACAGTCCCGCGTCTCCGGGACCCCACACGTCCCTCTCCGACTCGACGAGTCCCCGTTTGCCCTCCACGCCGCCGCCGCTTCCTCCTCGCCGACGACGCGACAGCGTCGAAATCAACTCGCCGCAAGCCAAACCGGTCCCTCTCCTGCCGCCCCGCGATAGCTCCCCTCCGCCCCTGCCGCCGCGCAGAGAACCGGGACCGTCGCCGAACGCCCACCACAACAGCCTTCCCGCCTCCTTCACCCCGCCGACCTTCTCCGGCACCTTACCCCGCCTCAATCCCACCCACTTCTCGCAATTGCACATTCGAAGGCACACCACCCTGCACCCCCATCTACCTCCTCGAACCATTTCGCACACAAACGGATCAAAGTAAGTATTCCACCCTCCTCCCTCTGTAGAAATATAGCAATCTCTTTGTGTTTTGAAGTGCTTCGAACCAACCCCCCAGTATTTCTCCACGTTCTATCAGCGACTCATCGGGGCAAACGACTCCGAAACTACCGCCGAAGCCGGCGATCAAATCGGCCGGCCTACCCTGCGGTACAATGTTTCAATATCCGAGCACAACGTCGACGTAATCCACCAGTATTATCTTAACAGCGGGAGGTGATCTCTAACATTGTTGTAAATATGTACATTGTACATTTCTTCGTAAGCTAGCGTAATGTAGTGTTGCCAAACTTATGAGAGAACAAAAATATATCTTGTTTTATATGTCTAAAGAAAAAAAAAATTGAGCATTATATGTTGATGTACAACGCGAGGTGCGTATAATCAACCGCTAAAAAGGAATTGTTAGTGTAGCTAATTTTTTTGTATGTATATTGTTTTTAGTTTCGCTACATCCTTCGTATTATGATTTTTCGATCAATGAAAAATTGGAACGATGAAGCGTTTGTTTTTAATTGATATAATTTGAAATCTGTGATAGTAGCATGGACCATTATTTGTAAAAAATCAAGAAATGTAATATGTCAAAATAAGACCAATAAATGTATGGATGTGTCTCTAAATTAGAACCTGGTCGTCCACTCCTTTAAATCAAGAGAATGGAAGATCGCTTCGCGAGCGGGAAGAAGGAATCGCATCTGGTGATGGAGAAATATTACGGAATTCCTTTTTATTGTTTCGAAATCGTTTTCATTTTTGGTGTAAACGATTGCTCAATTTATGGTTAAAATTGTTACGACACCTAATGCCGGGACTGATATACGATAATAAATAACGTTTTGCCTGCAATATCCTTTACTTACCTTTCATACTTTGGTTGTACAACACCATGTAACTTCCAGTTTGGGACAACTTGCCTCTTATTGACTACAAGTTTGATATTAAGCATCGATCGAATAATTTGTTTATAAAATATATTAAAAAGTATTAACGTAGGTCGGTTCGCGTTTGCTCTAATTACAGGATAAACTGACAAGAAACTTCTAATTTTCTTTTAAACTGTTTTATAATTAATATATTTGACTTAATACTTAAAATTGCAAAAGATTTTTACGAGTTGTTTTATCTTAATTGATTTATCATGTTTTCCTCTTGCGTTGTTTTTATGAATTTGTTTAACTGCATTTGATTCGATTACGTGATTTTGATCGTACAATTTGAAATGCTTTGTGTATTTTCGCTTGCATTTTGCGCCGTAGTCTGATTGATTTCATGTATCTGTGTGGGGGTTTTTGTCCCGAAGAAGGTTTCCCTGGTTCTTCCGGACAATATTTTGCGTTTTATTCAATTCGAAGTTGATCATTACAGATTGTTGCCGTGGACCAGGAGGTGTGAAGGGAAATTGATCTCACTCGCAATATTTATTTTGTTGTGTAATAACACATGTGCACAATGAACTACCTGTGGACCTTAAATTCCTTTCCCTAAAATCATTCAAATCCACTATTCACAGAGATCTGCTCAGGGCACTAACAAAATACAGGTTAAGTAAGTATTCAATTTCTAAATATTTACGGTAAAAGATTAATACATCTATTTGATGCAATTTATTTATTTTTATCTTTTCTCATACTCTACTTATTTTTATAATGTAATTTTCTTCGTTTTTCGTGGATCGGAATTCAAAATAGTAAGGTTAAGTGGAAGAACAGATGGCATTATTTTATTGTCAATCTGAACTTCGCCTTGCACTAATTTTTTCTCTTGTTCATTTTCTTTTTTTTTTTTTTTTAAAGGCAATATTATAAATATCACACTTTTAGAAAACAATCATTTCTTCACTATAATAGGACTGGAGCGAAGTGGTGTGAAGCACCAAACTATTAGGAAAACGAATACAAGAGACCCAAGATCTACCACCTACTTAAGCCAGAAGATCGCGCTTGAGGTTCAAAGAGGGAATGTCAAGATGATAACAGATGTCTACATGACAGCTAATAATACAACTATAAAATATTATAGTCAATTAATGTAATAATTATTATAAAAATCAATAAACGAAATTATTATTATTTTAATAATCTCGATATAGATCAACGATAGAGGAAGCATCAATTGCAAGATTATTAGCTACCTCTGTCGGAAAAAAGATGTTTTTATTGATCTATGATGGTGAGTATTTATCTGAGATACTACTTATTGTTAATGTATTTCTCTTTTTAGGTACTAAGCAGTCATGATGAATTATTGGTGAGTATTAAAAATTTGGTATAATCCAGTGTCACAGTTCGTTGTATAGATTGGTTATTTTAAAAAATTGTATTATTTTATGATATCAATTGCGCTGTCGCAATGATTGTATTATATTGTGATAATACGAAGACTACATGACAGCCAATGATACAACTATAAAATATTATAATAAATTAGTGTAATAATTTTTAATAATAATAACTTTATTATTATGGTCAGTCGTTCTTGTCAGAACTGAGGGCTGGCCTGGTTAATTAATCGCACGGATTAAAATCAAGTAACGATTACGGCTTGTCTTTACGTCGTTCGTCTAGTCAAGTTTTATCGAGTCCTACGTTTTATAAATGATAGTAAATTAAAAAAAAATAAATAAAAATTGGTTTTTGTCCCGAAGAAGGTTTCCTTGGCGTCGCCTTCTTCCGGACAATATTTTGCGTTTTATTCAATTTGAAGTTGATCATTACAGACCATATTCAAAATACGAATTATACGTCTTATTTTGCGTTCCTTTACTACCGTACTTCAGGTCATGGCGTTGTTTACAACAAAGAAAAGAAAGGATCTGCTGTAGGTTTCCGATCGCGCTAATTTTCAATATCAAATTTACACGAGACCCGTTTAGTTTTGGAGGGAGTGGCAATTTTTAAACGTTGCCGGGTTCAAACTTGGAAATTTTAAATTAGTTGTTTTCAATTGGTAAAACTTGTGCCGCACTATGTACTAGTAGGTTTTACAACTCCCAATAGTTCACATGTCCTTCTCCTGGCGAAGAATGGTAGTTCGGAAGGACAGCCACCTTTCACCTGACAGGGGTTTCAAGATTGATTATGTCCGAAAATGTAGACGTTACCTTCATTAAAATCGAACCAAAATCGGAACTTGAGGAAGCACCACCCCATTTCGATTTGTGCGAGCTGGTTGTGAAAGAGGAACGTCACTACGATCCAAGCGAAGACTTCTGCAAGACCGAAGATACCAGTAGCATTGAGCCCCTTGCAATTCCGAGCGTCTTCAGATGCCTCCACTGCAGTTACACGACGAGATATAAAATTGCGTTAAACCGACACGTTCTGCTGCATTGTACCGACTTTAAATGTGGCAAGTGTGATTTTTATACGTCAAAGAAAAGCGTACTACGCCGTCACAAGTTGAGCCATATTCAGCACAAATTTAAGTGCAGTACCTGCGATTATTCCTCGCCGTTCAGATATAACATTACTCGGCACAAGACGACGCACACTTTAGTTCGGTGTGCACTGTGCGAGTTCGTGACCATGTGCAAAATCACGCTGTCGAAGCATTTGATGGATCACCGAGCCAGAATTAAAAGTGAAGCCGGCCCGAAGAAGAAAGGGCGCCCTAAGACTGTACGTGAGCCGACCGTCTTTAAATGTGACCAGTGCGAATATAAAACGCAGTACAAGTACAATATTCGAAGACACGTGTCGATGCATCAGCTTAAGCCGACTGAAACGTTTCAGTGTCCCCACTGCCCTTTTACTAACAAGTGTAAAGGCGCCATGAAAAAGCATGTCGGTGCTCACAATGCAAACCGCGTGTACAGATGTAAGCGGTGTAATTTCACAACGGAGACGAGAAATCACTTGCGAACTCACCAATTAATTCACAAACCGAACAAATTTAAATGTGACCGGTGCGATTATACGTCGCAGCACACTTACAACATCAGGAGGCACGTCGCGATGCACGACGCTTCCTTAAAATTACAGTGTGACCAGTGCGATTACACGACCTACTGGAAGGACTACTTAAAACAGCACATCTTAGGTCACAGCGACTTGTACAAATACAATTGTGCGCAATGCGAGTATACGACCAAAAACAAGTACACGATGAGAACGCATCGTTTGACCCACACCAGTACGTGCTACAAATGTGACCACTGCGAGTACGCGACCAAACGACGAGAGGCCATGCATGCGCATTTACGCGTACACAACACGCAGGTTAGTCGCTAATTTTGTTACTCGGAATCTAGCGAGTCGTCGACATATTCAAGTCGCTAGACCTCCTTGTCTCTAACTAAAATACTTTGGCTAACACGCGCCAGACTACATTCTGTTACAAAAAGAAAGTGAATGTTCTGATCTCTTCGTCGACAGGAAATGCCTTCTACTGGTGGTCGCCTTTTGAATGTCACAAATCTTCCCTTTAGAAAGTGGTAGGGTTTCTAACTCCTTTTTGGACGCAAAGTAAATCTTACGAAAATGCCTCCACCCAGAGCTGGGCAGTATTCGATTTTGTAAATACTTTTTAGTATTCAAATCCTTTAAAGTTATCAAATACTTTGTAATTAAATACTTTTATGGAAGCAGTGTACAACCTTCCTTTTTTACCAAAAATCGACTACTCCAAAATTTCTCCGGAAAACACTTTTTCTTATTAATTTTGGTGCGTAGAATCCAAAACAATTCGTACTTTCTCGATCAGACTTCTCAATCAAAAGTTATAGACTAGAAACCAATTTCGAAAGAAAATTCAAAGGGCTGTAACTTTTGAACTAGTAGCCCAATCTTGGAACTGTTTTAAATTATGGATTCTACAGGCCACATTCTATAAGAAAATTTTTTTTCCGGGTCGATCTGAGACAATTTTTTTTTCGGGGCTCAAAAAAAAGGCAGTGTATAACCTTCCTTTTTTACCAAAAATCGACTACACCAAAATTTCTCGGGAAAACACTTTTTCTTATTAATTTTGGTGCGTAGAATCCAAAACTATTCGTACTTTTTCGATCAGACTTCTCAATCAAAAGTTATAGACTAGAAACCAATTTCGAAAGAAAATTCAAAGGGCTGTAACTTTTTAACTAGTAGCCCAATCTTGGAACTGTTTGAAATTATGGATTCTACAGGCCACATTCTATAAGAAAATTTTTTTTCCGGGTCGATTTGAGACAATTTTTTTTTCGGGGCTCAAAAAAAGGCAGTGTATAACCTTCCTTTTTTACCAAAAATCGACTACACCAAAATTTCTCGGGAAAACACTTTTTCTTATTAATTTGGGTGCGTAGAATCCAAACCAATTCGTACTTTTTCGATCAGACTTCTCAATCAAAAGTTATAGACTAGAAACCAATTTCGAAAAAAAATTCAAAGGACTGTAACTTTTGAACTAGTAGCCCAATCTTGGAACTGTTTGAAATTATGGATTCTACAGGCCACATTCTATAAGAAAATTTTTTTTCGGGTCGATCTGAGACAATTTTTTTTTCGGGGCTCAAAAAAAGGCAGTGTATAACCTTCCTTTTTTACCAAAAATCGACTACACCAAAATTTCTCGGGAAACACTTTTTCTTATTAATTTGGGTGCGTAGAATCCAAATCAATTCGTACTTTTTCGATCAGACTTCTCAATCAAAAGTTATAGACTAGAAACCAATTTCGAAAAAAAATTCAAAGAGCTGTAACTTTTGAACTAGTAGCCCAATCTTGGAACTGTTTGAAATTATGGATTCTACAGGCCACATTCTATAAGAAATTTTTTTTTCCGGGTCGATCTGAGACAATTTTTTTTTTGGAGCTCAAAAAAAGGCAGTGTATTACCTTCCTTTTTTACCAAAAATCGACTACACCAAAATTTCTCGGGAAAACACTTTTTCTTATTAATTTTGGTGCGTAGAAGGTTTTTTTAAATTCTCTTCAACGAAATTTGCATATTGCAACCATGATGTGCGGTTCCACACAAAAAGCAGCATCTTTTTGACCATGATCCTGTACTTCGGGAACTGGAACGTGGAAGGAACTACAAAGACACTTATTCGAGAATATCTTTAACAACTCTATTTATCTCGGGCGCCATTGATCCCGTACCCTCACTCCGCCGAGGAGGGTAGTAATTTTTGACCCCTGGGGTCGTTTAAAAATGGGAAATCCCTATTAAATACGACGAAATTCGGTAAGTTTCGAGCCGGAGATTCATCGTAAAGAAATTCTTTTGATACCAAAACGTCGGCATTAAGTCTAGTGATCAAAAACTGCAGTTAGTTCTTTGGTAAATGCCGTTTTATCATACAGGTAGTCTTCAGCTGCGAAGACTGCGACTTCTCAACGACAAATCGGAACAACCTGCGAACCCACAAGTTAAATCACAGCGGCAAGATGTACAAGTGCGACTGGTGCGATTACACAACGAAGTACATTTACAGCATAAAGAGGCACACGTCGATGCACGACACGTCGATCAAACTAAAGTGCGACCAATGCGACTACACCACTCACTGGAAGGACAACTTGAAACAACACGAAATGACGCGTCACACTACGGTCGAGTACAAGTGCGACGTCTGCGATTTCACGACGGATAGAAGATACGCGATGCGCTACCACAAGTACGCGCACAAGGGTATAATGTATCAGTGTCACTTGTGCAGCTATAAGTCAAAGTTTAAGAACAGCTATAAACGGCACTTCTCGACTCATCACCCAGGCGAGGCGAATTTGGCAGGGAAAATCGAAGAGACGTATCGGCAGAATGTGTAATTGTCTTTCACAGGTTATAGTAAAATATTTATTAATCCATTTAACACATGGACCAAGTTAGTCTCAGAAAGTGGGCAGTACATAATTGTAAGGTTTTAAAAACAAAAAGATTTACATGCAAATTGCTTGTGCATTTTCCTATGATTTTTACATTCCTCTGTATTACGTTATATGCAGTTTAGCATTACACGAAACAGAATCTGGGGGACAGAAATGGTTGTAGGGAAGGAATTAATGTTATAGTTTGTAACTACATGTTAAGTTCTTTAATATAATTCTGACCACCAAGAAAGTACACTTTATTGTATAACTGTAATATGACTACAGGTAGCACAAATGAGGAGTTAGTGCAGAAGGCATGAAAAAAAGTTACAAAGGTTCTACACCAATGGACGCCACCGACTGTCACCGCAACACATGACACGGATTAAACAGGTATATAAGCTTGTAAACATTGAAAAGGGAACGGTCTTTGAATGAAAGCCATTTTGTTCAATTACTCAGCGGAGGTGTGAGGAACAGCCAACAATTGGCACGAGTGACGGCCTACCCTTGGCATCCAAAATCTTCTCAATCTCGCCTTCCGAGCAATTTCGCGATCACCGCAACACTTCGATGCAAGGATCCAGGCCTTGGGAATTATGTGTCAAATAAGCAGGTACCAAGATTCTAAGAAAGGGCGAAATATACAGGATGTGACTCGTCTTTGGTGCAATAAAGTCCTTTTTTTAAAAGCAAGATGGAAAATTGCATGGCCTTGTAGGCAAATTTAACTAAAAACAAGATATGTGGAAATTACGAATCGTAACTCATTAATCGCACATAGATATTAAACTGAAGAGCTTTGATTAGCGTAATCCCGCTCCTGCAAGATAGGTAACCCGCCCCTGGTTTCGGGGTTTCGAGCCTACAGTTGAATGTCGAAGACAATCACGGAATTGGGTGTCGGACTTCAAATGGTTACAGTTTTTACCACCCCCGTGACTGCTTCATTCACGGAGAAAATTGTTAGTAACAAACAACAAGTCCGTACATACATCAAACGAATCAGTAATTTCCACATATTAAAATAAAATGATCAAAACTCATATGAATGTTACTTCAGGGACAAGACCAAGTAATCAACATCACTAAACATAAATTAAGCAAGCATTACACCAAAAACGTAAACAATTACAAACAATAGCATAACGGTATCACACATGTGATTCTGCATTGCGGTTAAACCAAGTAAATTTCAAAAACAAAGATTGAAACACACAAAAATATAAAATACGGCATACAAAACACAAATACGATATAAAGAAATGCAAATAATTACTACCTGCATTAAATAACAACAAACATTAATGGAGCGACGCGTTTACGACCGCCATTCAAGACAAGAAGCCAAACGTAACCCACGTTCGTGCCCGTCAGATGGCGCAAATCGCTTTCCCCTCCTAAAAATTGCGTGGTTGCCAACTCTCAAAAATGTTTGCATCGTCGTAAGTTGTATATACAGGGTGGAACCTCTCATGCTTCATGGAAAAAAGTCATTTTTTCGTTCTGGTATCCTTTACGGTCCCAGTGTTTCGAGCTACTTCCCTTGGGAGTGTTCCATCAGACCGGTGTCGCTTTTGTCGAGCTCCTAGGTTTCAGGTCATGGGAGTTCAGGTTGCCTAGAACCTCCTGATTTTTGCCACCCCTCAGGAGATATGGGGTGGCCCGATACAGAAAGGTGTGCAGGAAACCTGAAAGCAGACTGGATGTGCTTGTGAAGCATGGAGAATAGAAGCTTCACCTTCAACAAAAGAAAATTTGGGTCACGTGTTAAAAAAGAAGAAACTGCTGTGAAGGGTGTAGAGGAAAAAGGATGTCAAGAGATAATTTTCAACTACATCCCGTATAATACCAACCAAGCGATCTACTTCAAGGTCTTACAGAGGCGTACGAACTGTTGCCTATCCATCAGGCGACATGCAGCAGAATTCAACACTTGCCCCAGTTAAATTGCGCGAACAACTGTCGAAACATACACAGAGATCAGCTGTGTGCTCGTCGTATAATGGCAAGGGGCCGTAGGAGTTCTTCACCAGACGACGATGGTTACAAACGTTTTACCGAAGACATCCACAATGTCTCGTACGGTTCGAACAGCACCAGTAAGTAAATAACGAGTTTTTTTTTGTGTTTTCGGGTAAACAACTGTCGGTACAAACGAGTTATATCTAGTTCAATAATCTGTTGTAATTAACCATTAAGTTGAAGGTGACGAAATGGGCAGCCGATCGACATTGTGCTGCGATAACGATCAGGAGATGGAACGAGGGGAGGGCAATTGGGAGATGAACTATCATGAGGCGGCTATTTTTTTAGAGGTAGCGATTTATTTTCGCCCCCAACGCTTACTTTAAGTGTCTTATGATGCAGGAAGGACAGAATAATGAGAAATTCGACTCGCACCCTCGACATCCCAACGATCTACCCGCGTACCTACTCGTACATAACGCGTGGTATTACGGGCTGGATCTGATTATGTCGATCATAATTTTGCTGCTAGCGCTAGTCGAGGCACCGTCCGTTGATAATTTTCAGGTATTTATATCGGTAGCTTGCGAGGGGTAACCCACTTGTACACCACATTTACCGGGAGCACTTAAGACCCTGAAACGGGACATCCCGACCTCTCATTCAATTAAATTAATACAGTCGGCAGTTATAGATTTCTATTCTGAATTGTGGGGCATATATCTCTGGGGGATATTGATACTCCCCAGTCACAAAAGAGAGTAGTTTAATTTTAAGTTACTCCCTTTTTCCTGGGGGGTATTCCATACCCCCCAGACCCCCCGGTGGTATATTACACTGTAAATTAATGAAAGTGGGCAGTTATAGATTTTTATTCTGAATTGTGGGGCATATTCCTCTGGGGGGTATTGATACTCCCCAGTCACAAAAGAGAGTAGTTTAATTTTAAGTTACTCCCTTTTGCCTGGGGGGTACTCCATACCCCCCAGACCCCCCGGTGGTATATTACACTGTAAATTAATGAAAGTGGGCAGTTATAGATTTTTATTCTGAATTCCTGTGGGGAGTATTAAGAGAGTAGTTTAATTTTAAGTTACTCCCTTTTGCCTGGGGGGTATTCCATCCCCCCCAGACCCCCCGGTGGTATATTACACTGTAAATTAATGAAAGTGGGCAGTTATACATTTTTATTCTGAATTGTGGAGCATATTCCTCTGGGGGGTATTGATACTCCCCAGTCACAAAAGAGAGTATTTTAATTTTAAGTTACTCCCTTTTGCCTGGGGGGTATTCCATACCCCCCAGACCCCCGTTGGTATGTTACACTGTAAATTAATGAAAGTGGGCAGTTATAAATTTTTATTCTGAATTGTGGGGCATATTCCTCTGGGGGGTATAGATACTCCCCAGTCACAAAAGAGAGTAGTTTAATTTTAAGTTACTCCCTTTTGCCACCCCCCAGACCCCCGTTGGTATATTACACTGTAAATTAATGAAAGTGGGCAGTTATAGATTTTTATTCTGAATTCCTGTGGGGAGTATTAAGAGAGTAGTTTAATTTTAAGTTACTCCCTTTTGCCTGGGGGGTATTCCATACCCCCCAGACCCCCCGGTGGTATATTACACTGTAAATTAATGAAAGTGGGCAGTTATAAATTTTCATTCTGAATTGTGGGGCATATTCCTCTGGGGGGTATTGATACTCCCCACTCACAAAAGAGAGTAGTTTAATTTTAAGTTACTCCCTTTTGCCTGGGGGGTATTCCATACCCCCCAGACCCCCCGGTGGTATATTACACTGTAAATTAATGAAAGTGGGCAGTTATACATTTTCATTCTGAATTGTGGGACATTTCCCTCTGGGGGGTTTCGATGCCCCCCAGCCACAAAAGAGTAGTTTAATATTAAGTTACTCCTTGTTGGCTGGGGGGTATTCCATACCCCCCAGACCCCCCGGTGGTATATTACACTGTAAATTAATGAAAGTGGGCTGTTATAGATTTTTATTCTGAGTTGTGGGGCATATTCCTGTGGGGAGTATTAAGAGAGTAGTTTAATTTTAAGTTACTCCCTTTCGCCTGGGGGTTATTCCATACCCCCCAGACCCCCCGGTGGTATATTACACTGTAAATTAATGAAAGTGGGCAGTTATAGATTTTTATTCTGAATTGTGGGGCATATTGCTCTGGGGAGTATTGATACTCCCCAGTCACAAAAGAGAGTAGTTTAATTTTAAGTTACTCCCTTTTGTCTGGGGGGTATTCCATACCCCCCAGACCCCCCGGTGGTATATTACACTGTAAATTAATGACAGTGGGCAGTTATAGATTGCTATCCTGAATTATGGGGCATGGGGTATGGAATAATATCCCTCCAGCCACAAAAGGAGTAGTTTAATTTTAAAGTTACTTCCTTTTGGTGGGCCTCGACCTCTCTGTGGTATATTACACCGTAAAATAATGAAAGTGGGCAGTTATAGATTTTTATTCTGAAATGTGGGGCATTTGCCGCTGGGAGGTTTCGATGCCCCTCAGCCACAAAAGAGAGTAGTTTAATTTTAAGTTACTCCCTTTTAGTTGGGGGTATAAGGATAAGGGAATAAGGGAGCTCATCCCACTGGGAGTGTGTGGAATTGTGAGGCCACAAAAGAGATTTGTTTCATTTTGAGTTCCTTCTTTTTGGCTGTGAGGGCGGGGTTGATCTGATCAGTGCACTTGTAGCTTTCCCTCGGCATTCACGGGACATTGGAGCTGGCGGCATTGGCCGTAATCGGAGTTGAGCTGGTGCTCAAACTGCGATGGATCGGCTGGGGGGCGGTTTTGAAACACAAGCGCACGATGATTAAGGTAAGCCATCGTTTCGGAGTAGGGAGTTGACCTTTTAACTGCAGGGCGTCACGTTGGTTATTATGGTTTTGGAGGCGCTCGTGATGCTCATCCGGCAGTCGTCGCACTTTCGCGTGACTCGAGCGCTGAGACCAATTTTTCTGGTGGACACGCGGGCGTGCGGCGGAGTGCGACGGTTCATAAGACAGATACTTCAGTCTCTACCTCCGATTCTGGACATGCTGGCCTTGCTGATGTTTCTCGTCTGCAGCTACGCGTTGCTCGGGTACTTTCTTTTCGGGCACACTGCTTCGAATCCGTACTTTAAGACGTTGACGGACAGTTTCGTTAGCATGTTTGTGCTATTGACAACTGCCAAGTACGTACTGGGCGTCTCGTTAGACAATTATTTACATACTGCCTAGCTTTCCAGATGTAATGATGCCGTCGTATGCGGTTTCGAAGTGGTATGCCGCTTTCTTTATATCGTATCTCTCGACTGCTCTCTACGTTTTAATGAATTTGGTAAGTATTTTCAATTCTTGGTGTTTAACGAGAGACACTAAATTGATTGAAAAATTTCAAATTAATTTTACGTGTAGAGTACCTCAATTTGCCTATGGCGACTACTTTCAGGTTAGCTTAGACTATTGCGACGACAAAACGCGCAGAATTTATTCCGAAAAGTCTGTTCGAGTTTTGTTGTTAAATACAGGCAAATATGACAATGAGTCATTTTCTGTCCGACCAGAAACAGGGTTTGGAATTTAAAAAAAAATCGGGGACGCGTATCCGTTCCCGTATATGGGTAACTTTGTTATTATTAAAGATAGAGAATTGGTTAAATGGGCAATGTTTTGCAGTTTTGGATGCTTATTTAAAATTTCCTTATGGAAATTCAAAATGTCGCATAGGTTCGACGTAAATTCAAAAAAACTAAAATTGGTCATTTCCTTAAATGTCTTATATCATCGAAAGTATAAGAGATATAAAAAAAAGTTTTATATAAAAGTGACTGTCTTTGATACGCTTAATTTAGAATTGATGTAAAAAAAATTCAAGATGGCTACTTTTGAGGAACATTTACCAACTTCCTAAAGTTAAATGGGCGCCATATTGGATTTTTAGATTACTTGATAGATTTTTTAATTCTCTTTTCAACGAGCCATCATAACATAAGATTGAAAATAAGATACCAATTATATTAACGGTTTTTATATTTTAATCAAGTAGGCTGTGATGATTTAAAAAAAAACCAAAACAAAATCTATTCGAGCCAACAAAACAATGAAAATAATTACATCAGATGTTTAAAAAATCAGGGGCGCACTCATGAGAGGGGCATTACAACTTTCTCCAAAATTTTATATAAGTAGGCCTAGAAAAATTTGGTTTTTATAACATCACTTATTGACTATCTTATTATCCATACTTACATACCTACAAATGGTGGTATAACTACAAACTATCCCCTCGAAAAAATGTCATGCCATTATACAGTTAAACACATTTCAAGACACTTTGCTTTATTTTACCATTGATGCATTGTCCCAGGTCACATTTTGTAGGTCAGTAGGTGGTTTATCCGCAAGAATATCGAAACTAACAGTTTTACCAGTCCGAGTATATGGACAGATGAATCTTATTTTTCTAACTGCGGAGTGTTCGAATCGACATAATGAACACTATACTCCTCACAGGAAAACCTACATGTCGTAGTTTCACGCCGAAATCGAGTAATATTTTTTTAAATTAATGTATTTTATGGCATAATGGGAAGTCATGTAATTGGCCGGTAATCTTCGTTGGATCTGAAACTGCTCACCATTATTTACAAATTCTCCAATAAACTTCCTTAAAGGATTTTTCTCGACAACGTATGTTTCGAAGAAAGGGTTGGTTTATGCTACCTACCAACAAGCTGTCTGCTCTGGTCACAATTCACGAATTATGTACAGTACATTAAATTATAAAAGTAAGCACTTAATTAAAAAATAAAAGTAAAGTGGAAGTAGCTACCACTACAATAATAATAATAATCATCAATGGCAACACGTTGCCTAAACTAAACTGTCTTGAAGTGTGTTTCACTAATAATGGCCAGTATCTGGTGTAATTATTTTCATTGTTTTGTTGCCTCGAATAGATTTTGTTTTGTTTTTTTTTATTCGTCACAGACTACTTGATTAAAATACAAAAACCGTTAATATAACTGGTATCTTATTTTCAATCTTATGTTATAATATCTCGTTGAAAAGAGAATTTAAAAATCTATCAAGTAATCTAAAAATCCAATATGACGCCCATTTAACTTTAGGAAGTTGGTAAATGTTCCTCAAAAGTGGCCATCTTGAATTTTTTTTGACATCATCAATTCTAAATTAAGCGTATCAAAGACAGTCACTTTTATATAAAACTTTTTTTATATCTCTTATCCTACCTTCGATGATATAAGACATTCAAGCAAATGACCAATTTTAGTTTTTAGCTTCCTAGCATGTGCTAGGTAGCTATTGCGATAGCCGTTTTTTGAACATTTCAAAATTTCATCAAATGTCGACGTTTTAGACCATTTTAAGCAACTTTTAAAGAATAAAATTTTTTTCCGTCTGTATGTACGTACGTACGTACGTTTGTTGGCAATTTTCTGAGAAAACGGCTCGACGGATTTTGTTGAAATGTTGTATATATGTTTTAGGCATACCGAACAGAAAAATAACGGGCCGGATTTTTGAAAAAAAATTTTGGAGCGCCGTAACGGCATCGAACTTTTTTTTTCAAATAGCAACCTAAAATTTTTATTCTATTATTTGAAAGACCTTATTTTCCTGTGTACAACCTACAAAAAATTGGGCCGGGTTATATTATCAAAAAACGGAGAAAAAAATTGTCAAAGTCAAAAAATTGTGTTGCATATGTGCAAAACGTAACGATCTTGTTTCTGAAGCAATTTAAACGAAACTTCTATAGTAAGTCCCTTTAATAAAAGCAAACAAAATTCATGCGCAAAAATCGTGTTGCGCATGCGCAGAAATGCAATTTTCTTATTTATGGAACAATTAAAACGAAATTTGTATGGTAGGTCCTCCTAATAAAAGAAAACAAAATGCATGCGTAAAAAATGCACCTTTCTTATTTTTTCCGTCTGTATGTACGTACGTACGTTTGTTGGCAATTTTCTGAGAAAACGGCTCGACGGATTTTGTTCAAATTTCGGATATGTATATTAGGCATACCGAACAGAAAAATAACGGGCTGGATTTTTGAAAAAAAATTTTGGAGCGCCGCAATGGCATCAAACTTTTTTTTACAAATAGTAACCTGAAATTTTTATTGAGTTATTTGGAAGATCTTATCTTCCTGTGTACAACCTACAAAAATTGTGTCGGGTTTTATTACCAAAAAATGTTTCAAAACCCACTCGTGGGTATTGCCGCGTAACACATTGTAAATGATGAGTAATGGGCAAATAGAGACCATAGCAGCTATCAATTAGCGAAAATCTGAAGTCTCTTGGTGACCCAGGGGCCGAGATCTCGATGGAACAGACGGACGGACATAGACAGAACACAAGCACATAAGCGTTACCTCAACATCGTTGTGATACATACATATGTTGGCAATTTTTGGTTTCAGCTAGGAAGCTATTCTGTCAAGAATTTGACACCTGGTTTTGAATTTACGTCGAACCTATGCGACATTTTGAATTTCCATAAGAAAATTTTAAATAAGCATCCAAAACTGCAAAACAATGCCCATTTAACCAATTCTCTATCTTTAATAATAACAAAGTTACACATGCAATCCCACGCGATTTGGGACACACTGTATATTGGTCGTAGCAGAACAGATTGGTCTTATCGATATGATCATTTTGTAGATGCTGGCCGTTGTGTACGAAACGTTCACCGCAATAGAAAAGGACAAATTTCGCAAGCTGCTACTGCATAAGCGACGCGCTTGTCAGCTGGCCTTTCGTCTGCTGGTCAGCAAACAGAACCCTTCGAGTATACGTTTTCGGCAGTTTTACGGACTGATGCGTTACTTCTCGCCGCGAACGAGTACGTACAATCTCTCATCGGGTGCGATTGTGAATAACGTTCGTAGGTGCGAGGGACGTGGTGCTGATGTTCTGGCAGTTGAACTCGTCACACAACGGCACGCTGACCTTGGACGAGTTCATTAATATATACGACGCGACGAGACTGAGATGGCGACTGAAGGATCCGATCGACCCGTGGTTTTCGGCGGCGTGGCCGCCGCTTCGTTCCATGTGTCATGCCGCTCGCGCTATCGTCACGTGGCGTTACTTCGAGCACTTGGTCTGTAAGTACCGCGAGCTGTTGTGTATCAATAACCCGACACCCTGACTGTAGATGTCATCATAATCGGTAACGGAATCGCCATGATGGTACGCATATTTATTGCCGAAGACACCCTGGAAGCCAGCGCGCGCGGTTTCAGCGCGTCATGGGACGCCTGTCTCTTTCTATCACGTATGCCTCACCTTCTTCTGCAAGTATTACTAACTCGCAATTTGTAGTGTTCGGAATCGAGGCAATTTTGAAAATAATTGGGCTCGGATGGACCGACTACGTGTCATCGGGCTGGAATATTTTCGACGTGAGCGTGACGTACGCTGCAATAATTGGCGCTGTTGTTCTACTAATCAAGCCTACGTTTACGGCCGTTGTCGTTTTTAGGCCGTTGCGTTTGCTTCGCCTGTTCAAGCTGAAGAAGCGATACAGAGACATCTTTGGGACGGTAGTCCTACTCTCGCCCTTAATGCTCTCAACCTCAATTGTAATGATCGTGATGTACTACTTCTTCGCGATTATCGGCATGGAGCTCTTCTCGCAGTACGATCTACGCAACTGTTGCGTGTACGTCACACCGCCTCTCTGCGTGCACTATTAATGTTGCGCTTTCAGAAACTCGACCGTTGAGGACTTTTACAGGTACAGCGAGAATGGGACGACTGCTCTCGGCTACTACTATTTAAATTCGTTTTCAAATTTACTTACAACCGGCGTCACTTTATTCGAACTGACCGTGGTCAATAACTGGTTTATCACCATGGAGGCTTTCGCTGTCGTCGCGCATCAATACTCGCGCATCTTCTTCATGACCTTTTATTTATTTACAATGGTAGTCTTAACCATAGTGGTGGCATCTGTTCTTGAGGCGTTTCGCTTTCGCATCCAATACAAGAGGCAGACGTCGAAAAAGGACGGTAAGACCAGCTCTACCACTTACTCGAACCAAAAGTTAAATTCTAGAGGAAAGGATGCTGATGGAAGAAGTGATCGTCGACTGGAACACGCTGCAAGGCACCTTGCAGGACTCCGCACTGCTCGACCATCTCCGAACCGATTTCGTTCCAGGGGTAAGCGCTCTTCGCCGCCATTACTTAGTAACGGTATCCCGTAGGGGCTCACGTCGTATACCGGCAAACGGCCGCGCACGCGCGAGGTGCTCCAACGCCACATGTATTACGCGGAGATCTCCCAGTGGATGGCCGAGGCCGATCAGCTGGAGATTACCGCGGAATTGGCGCAGACGAGCGCGAGTTAAATTTCCGCGCCGATCTTGTAGTGGTATTGACCTGATTTTGTGATAGCCAAACCGAATCATATCTACTTCCAATTTTTTATTTGTGATCTCCGATAATACTCCCGCTTTAGTTACTAGTCGTTTTAATTTTTAACTTATTTAACTGTGAAATGTATATATTTGTTTAAATAAATTTACTAAAAATAACTTGGAGATTTGATGTCCGAACGAGGGGGAAGGTACCTGCGCGAGGGGTCTAGTGCTAGTTTGGGTTTCAAAACTTGTCGATTTTGGCCTGTAGAATCTAGACCACTATATCAACCCCCCCCCCCTCCCACTTCTATGTTTTCTACAGTTGTCTCCTTTGCGGTGGTTATTGGGCGGGGAGGGGGGTTATTCGAAACCCTCCGGCTAGGGGAAACGACTGAATTTTTTGTGTACGCCCCTCTGAATTAATTTGAATTAACATGGATTAATGTGAATTAATTTGAATTAACGTGACTTAATTTGAAGTAACGTGAATTAATTTCAATTAACGTGAATTCATTTGAATTAACGTGAATTCATTTGAATTAACGTGAATTATTTTGAATTAACGTGAATTAATACTATGGATTAATTTGAATTAAGGTGAATTAATTTGAATTTGAATTTTTGGTGTACACCAAAAATGGTACTTGTTTCCCCTTAACAACTTTGAATTTTTGGTGTACACCCCTCTGAATTAATTTGAATTAACGTGAATTAATTTGAATTAAGGTGAATTAATTTGAATTTGAATTTTACACCAAAAATGGTACTTGTTTCCCCCTAACAACTTTGAATTTTTGGCGTACACCCCTCTGAATTAATTTGAATTAACGTGAATTAATTTGAATTAACGTGACTTAATTTGAATTAACATGAATTAGTTTCAATTAACGTGAAATTCATTTCAATAACGTGAATCATTTTGAATTAATGTGAATTTAATTTGAATTAATCGTTGGAATTCATTTTGGAATTAACGTGAATTATTTTAAATTTAACGTGAAATTAATTTGATTTTTTGGTGGTACACAATATGGTACTGTTTTCCCATAGCCCCCCCCCCCCCGGTTCATAGTTCTGTGCAGTACGGATAAGAGGATCTCATAATTTTTAGTTACTAGTCGTTTTAATTTTTAACTTATATAACTGTGAAATGTATATATTTGTTTAAATAAATTTACTAAAAATAACTTGGAGATTTGACGTCCGAACGAGGGGGAAGGTACCTGCGCGAGGGGTCTGGTGCTAGTTTGGGTTTCAAAACTTGCCGATTTTGGCCTGTAGAATCTAGACCACTATATCAACCCCCCCCCCTCTCTCCCACTTCTATGTTTTCTACAGTTGTTTCGTTTGCGGTGGTTATTGGGCGGGGAGGGGGGTATTCTAAACCCTCCGGCTAGGGGAAACGACTTTGAATTTTTGGTGTACACCCCTCTGAATTAATTTGAATTAACGTGAATTAATTTGAATTAACTTGAATTAATTTAAATTAACGTGAATTAATTTGAATTAACGTGAATTAATTTGAATTAACGTGACTTAATTTGAAGTAACGTGAATTAGTTTCAATTAACGTGAATTCATTTGAATTAACGGTAATTCATTTGAATTAACGTGAATTCATTTGAATTGACGTGAATTATTTTGAATTAACGTGAATTAATAGTATGGATTAATTTGAATTAAAGTGAATTAATTTGAAATTGAATTTTTGGTGTACACCAAAAATGGTACTTGTTTCCCCCTAACAACTTTGAATTTTTGGTGTACACTCCTCTGAATTAATTTGAATTAACGTGAATTAATTTGAATTAACGTGACTTAATTTGAATTAACATGAATTAGTTTCAATTAACGTGAATTCATTTCAGTTAACATGAATTAATTTGAATTATCGCGAATTAATATGAATTAATTTGACTTAACGTGAATTACCTTGAATTTGCGTGAATTAATTTCAATTAAGGTGAATTCATTTGAATTAACTTGAATTATTTTGCATTACGTGAATTAATTTGAATTAACGCGAATTAATTTGAATTTTTGGTGTACAATGGTGTTTAATGGAATACCCCACAGTAGGCGACACTTCCATTTCCATCCACTTCACGGTGCTGAGGTTTTTTCATGATTTTTCGGAAAAAGTCTTGTAATGTCATCTTATGGTTATTTTCAAGGTCATCAAAGTTCAATGACCTCATTTTTTCCATGTTTCATTTGATTTTCAAGGTCTGGCCATGTTTCGTTTGCAAGATTAAGATCAATGATCCCCATTTCTTTGCGGTGTCATTCTACTAGTCATAAGAGGTTATATGCATCCTTTTTTTACGGTCGTATTTAATTTTCAAGACAATAGGAGGTCAATGACCCCATTTCAATGTCGTTAATAGCCCATTTTTTGTGGTAATGTTTCACTTTCAAGGTTATCAAAGTTCAGTGACCTCGACTTTTTGCGGTGTATTTTATTCTGACGATCATCGGAGGTCAATGACCCTAGTTTTGTGGGGATATTTCATTATCAAGGTGTAATGATCTCAAATTGTATTGTTCTTTCATTTTCAAGGTCAAGGACCCATTTTGAATTTTGTGTCTTATTTTCAGAGATCAAAATTTAATGATCTCATTTTTTGCGATGTGATTCTATTTTAAAGGTCATCAGAGATCAATGACATCATTTGTCAAAAACGTGTTAACGTCAAAAATAATTGATATTCAACATACAGGCTAACCCAACATTACTGTTGGTGCTGATACCAAATAAAACGTCTGTACTGAGTGGCCCTGTTAGACTCGTTATTACGCACAAAGCTAGCTATCATACGCATACAGGCGTTAGTCTAGCGTCCGCGGTTCCATTTCTAAGACTGAAGGTTGGAAACGATAGCTATCTGCGGCGTGATTCTCCCACCACAATCGCCCATTTACTATCAATTTCAAAAACAGCACGTTCCGTGACACTTCCTGTACATATATGAGGTACTATAATTTTTTCTTGATTTGTATAAAATTAAGTGATCGGTTTTCTTTAAGAAAGGTGGGTGCTAGGGTCTTAGCATAAAGGTGAAATGACTCATAATTACGCAATTGACCTTGAACCTGGCGCATGCGCAGATTTCAAAGTTGGCTGACACCGGTGTTACTTATATATTCATGGTGGTTTTTTTACCATATTTTACCAAGTGTTTGTTTAAAGTCTCTAACCGCACATTTTATACACTACTAGGGGTTTGTAACGGAGGTCAGTTTAAATTGCATGCATTCCATTTTGCACGCGTAGTATTGCGGGTCGAATTATCGACAAACATGGGTACGTCTCTGAAACGCGTGGATTATTACCATAGTACTTAGCGCCGACCGACGTCGCGGTTTCGTGTTGGCGAGACAGATAAAGATTGCATTATAAACAAAAGACGCCTGCTTTACTATTACTTAAAAGGGACGGCAGTCTAAAAAATTGCGTTGGTTCCCTTTTCGATTTGATATAAATAGAAAAACGCGAGAGGGATCGATGGCATCCATCCGATAACGCGAATGTGACTTCGTTCCTTTTCGCCGGTGACTAACTTTATATCGACTTGATGGTGGCTGGTGGCGGTACAGTATTTAAAATATACGTATCAGAATTTTCCACTGATTATAGTTAAAATTCATTGTTTTGCTTGGTTTTTTTGCAGATTACAAGATGGAAGCGACACACTACTTGTAAGAGAAGAATTTATTTACTGATATACAGTTAGTGGGCTACATTCTACGATATTTCCTTGATCCATTTACTGATTAAGCGCTTCACTTTTTCCCTTACAGCGATAACTTGCTCCGAATCATCTTCGGACTGTGCATTTATTTCGGAGCAGTGCGAACCTGAACAATGAACCAATTAAATGACGAGGTTCAATTTACAACGTACCGTCAACAACCCAGACCGGCGCTTCCGGTCCGTAATCCTCCAAATGCGCCAGATGCTTCCACGGATCGTGAGTACCCTGAATCGTCACCACCCTTGTCACCTTCGGTTTGCGTCCTCCGTATCTGCGGGTAACACGCGCTATTCCCTCTCGAAGAATGTTCTCTGTAACGCTAGCAACCGATAAGAGAACCTCGTAATGGCCACCTTACAGTCCCTTGAAATCTTTCCCGCACTCTTCGAGAGATTCCTCTACGGTTAGATCCATCTCAAAGGGATGACGGGAGTTTTTCCTATTTAACGTCAGAAACGTGCCCATTTCCGTACAGGTCTGGTAACTCCAAGCGATATCTGAAACGTCTCTTTAAGTATTCCCCTAAAATGTCTGTAATTACGGTTTCGTTTTTCTTCAGGATCTGTGTCTCCGCTCATACAACTGGCAATGTGTTTAGATTTGAGCACGATAAAGTTGGCTAGAAGTTGGAATGATTGCAGCTCATCTTCGTCAATTGCCATCGTCAAGCAGGCGACCTCTTCATACTGAGAAGGATCGTGCATTACGTTTAGAACGACGATAATTTTACCCAGAATTGCCATGGAATTCATTTCGTCGATATCGCCACAAGTCCAGTCCCTAGAAATTCACTTCATCACAGAGTAAGCAACGGAGGGCGCACCAACTTGAATGCTTCCCGGACCTTAAGCCTCCCATCGTCGGTTTTGAGCAGGTTCATCGTCTGATTAAAGCCTCTTCGGACTGTCTCGATACAGTTAGTGCTCACGTTTGCGTACACGTCATTCACCACCTCAAAGTACTCTAAATTTTGCCATGAAATTGTGATTGAATCGAGAGCATTGTACCTGGGTAATCCAAACCGACACCAAGCGGTGCACTGGACGCGTACGAGATATCGACGATGTGCGGAAAACGAACCCTCATCCACGTGACCAGCATACCAGGATAGGAGCACCCGCGTATTATCACCGTACTGTTACCCAAACCGGGGGTTGCCGACTTGAAGTGCTCAATAAAGTAGGCCAAGTCTTCCAGCGCCTGCTCCATCTGCAAGAACCTCAGCTTCTCGGTGGAAAAATCTTTCCCAAACGGCAAACTCTTCCCGTAATACCGATGCTCGGTTTCGACCAGAAAACCATTATGCTCTTCGGCCAGCTCGGCCAAACCGCCCATCACCAACGACGAGCCGTCGATAGTCCACTCGCCTCCAACTTCAACAAACAGCGGTCCTCCCGGCTTGAAAAAGCTGCCCCGTGT